TTTTTTTTTTTTTTGGTGGTAGGAAGCTGCAAATTGGAGTACAGTGTAACTCTTCTGCAAGTAACAGAGCCAATGGAAGATCGAATGGAGCAAGCTCTGTTCAGCCCTCCTCTCGCAAAGCAGCGTGTCGAATTTGCTGTACAGCAAATAAAAGAATCTTCAGCGGCCTCATTGGTATATATATAAAAAATTGGTACCCCTTTCAAAATTGTGTTTTGCAGTATAAGAATTTGAAAATGATTTGTTTTTTTTTTTTTATTCGTATTGCAGATCGATTTAGGCTGTGGTTCAGGAAGTTTGTTAGATTCTTTGTTATCTTATCCTACTTCTCTCGAGAAAATTGCCGGTGTCGATATTTCAAAGCGAGCTCTTGCAAAAGCAGCCAAGGTTAGCAAAACATTACGACTATTATTTCTTTCTCTGGCTTAACATATCTTCGGATTATTATTCGAACTGATTGGGAATAATTAGAACGATATTTATTTTATTTTCTCTCCCATGCAGTCACTCCACACTAAGTTGACCAGGTTAGTGGATTGTAAAGAGCCGGGTTGCAAAATCCAATCGGCAGTACTATACGATGGCTCCATCACGAAAATAGATTCCCAGTTGTGTGGATTTGACATTGCAACTTGCTTGGAGGTACTATATTTTACTCCATTTGGATTATGATTTGCTCATGCATAATCGATACACGAGCTGCCTAATGAATATCAGTAGTCAGTAATACATATATATATATAAAAAAAAAGAACTTTGCTACTAAATTCGTATCCCCCTTCACATAATTGAAAATCGGATCTTTTTCTCCACTAGCCCTTTTAAACGAATATTGTGCATGATATATAAGGTAATTGAGCATATGGAGGAAGAGGATGCATGCTTATTTGGCGATATAGCCCTCGAATCTTTCTGCCCGAAAATTCTAATCATCTCCACTCCGAATTTCGAATACAACACGATTCTCCACAACAGTACTCCTCCTCAAGGCGAAGAGGAAAACCCGAACGAAAAAAATCAGCCAGAGAGCTTTAAATTCAGAAATCTCGATCACAAGTTCGAATGGACGAGGGCTCAGTTTGAGCACTGGGCATGTGACCTGGCAACGAGGCACAATTACAGTGTCGAGTTCAGTGGAGTTGGTGGTGATGGCGATGTTGATCCCGGTTTTGCTTCACAAATCGCGATTTTCAAAAGGTCTGCAGATGATGATGATGACGTGGCGAAAATCGAGGTAGCAGATAATTGTGTGCCCATCTGGAAATGGAGTAGGGAGGAAGAGAATTTGGTCTCCAATGAAATGTAGGTTTTTTTGAGTGTGTGTGTGTGTGAGTTGTTTTGTGTTGTCAAATATATATATATCTCTTCTGATATAGTTCCCTTTTGTTGTAGACTTGTGCCTATTTTGTTCATGCTACAAAAATTATTGGAGTTTTGGTAAATTATATCATAACCTTTGGTGTTTTGATATATTGGTGGTGTTGAATGATATTGAAATTTGAATCTATTGAGTTTGACTCAGATTTACAATCTTTTACCAAAATTAGCACAACATAAACAAAGACTTTATTAACACCCACACATCATAGACAAAATAAAGAAAGAAAAAAAAAAAAACACACACGAAATCGTTAGTGAAACATGACCACAACACAGGAAATATCGTCTTTGCTCTCCCTCGAAAGCGCTTCCTTAATCAGCTTCTCGGCTGCTTCTTGCTCGTCTTTCAACCCTTGGATGCAGTCAACAGCTTCTTCACTCGACAATACCTACACAATGAGCCCAAGGAATACACACACACTTCCAATAAGTGCACGGCTCGAAAACAGTCGATATTGATGAAACTATGGGACTTGGTTTGTCGATATTGATGAAACTATGAGACTTGGTTTTATAGCCAAGTAGTAAATACAAAGATGAAATATAACCACGTTATGTAGAAGTATGAATCACGATACTACCAACAACTAGATTTTCAAACAAGCTTTTTGAAGGGTAATTGAGTCATTTCACAAAAAGTGGCTATGTAGTGATATTGCCACGACGGGAAATTACAATTACTAAGTACTCGTTAGGTAGCATAATAACTTCACCTTCCAAAGGCCATCACTCGCCAATATGATATAATCGGTATCTTCATCGATTTTCTCGATCGTGACATCTGGTTCGACCGTTATGTGTTGCTTTACCTTTTCGTCTCCGAAAGCCCTCGTCATTGCCAGCTGGCCATCAACCCTCGGAACATTTCCTGCACGACGCAAAAATCAAAATGCCGTTTATTACATGGGAATACATAAAAAATAAACTTAACATATAAAAAACTAGAGCAATAATTTGCGGACGCTTATGATTTAAAAATAAAAACCGGGTTTATTGGACACAAATCCTCCTTTGCTCTCGACGAGCTTCTTCTCTCTCATCGGCTCATGATCAACCGTAACCTGTTTCACATTTCCTTTACTACAAAGCACGGCTCGGGAGTCCCCAACATTGGCCAAAATAAGCTTCGTTTTATCAATAAGTATGGCTGCTAAAGCTGTCGAGCCTCCCCTGCCGGCCGAACAAACCACATTCTCCAGGATATAATTATCCGTAGCTATGAATACCCTTTTAATCGCTTCTTCAGGGTTTGTCCAGAACTCGGGCTGTTTTCAAAACTAATCGAATGTAACAATGTTCACTGAAAAAAATCTCGGAAGTCGGAACAATAATATAAGATGATGATCAACTGAATTGACTGAAAAAAATTTACCTCATTGAGTATATTATCAAACAGGTTGTTCTTCAAGTACTCTGCCACCTGGCGACCAGAATGCCCGTCGAATATTGCGTACAGGCCCAGCTCGTGGCCATTCATTTTCTGACAAGTGGCGACCAAATAATCCTCCATCCCGTGTCTCATTTTTCCTTCGACTAGATGATGACCGTGCGAGACGAGCCGGGTATTACCGTGAGATGAGCTTCCCTTTTCGTCTTCATGCTCGTTTTCTTCATTTGGGTCGTCGTTTTTTTCAACGCAGGCATTGTTACATTTTTTTTCCTAGAGTAAGAAAAAAATGGCTTATTCTTTTAGACTACTATCTTTTATAACAGAAATGTTTCTTTTTTTTGGTTGCATTTTTCACTTAAGTGAACAGATGAAAGATTCGTAAACCTTCTGCTTGGCGGAGAAAACATCGTCAGGGGTTTTGCTTTTCTGCAAGCAAACAACATATTTGTTACAATATCACCTGTGAGTTGTCCCACTTTGATTTTATAGGGAAAATGAGTCTAGTATATAAGCCTGGTGGGCTACTTTTCCTACCAGCAATTAACAATTAGTTTCTGATAGAAACCCACTTTAGCTTTATCTGTGTTTTTTCTGTTTATGGTGCACTTCACGTGCGTGGGGCGGCACCCGTTTTTTCCGTTTCTTACCATGTTTATTGGCTTTTTAATGAAGAGGCAATGAAATAATTTTGAGGCAAATTGGTCCCCTAAAGTTTAAATACCTCCTAAAAAAACAACTAAAAGAAGCCCTATAATCTTAATAAAATCCTAAAGAACCACTTAAAAGCCCCCTAATACTGTATAACAGTAAACGAACCGAACGTTCGTGAACAAAAGCTCGTTCGAGCTCGTTCGTATTCGATAAAAGCTTGTTTGTTTGTTAATCGAGCCGAGTTTGAACAGAAAACTAGGTTCGTTTAATAATCGAACGAACACGAGCTCGGTCGTGAACGTTCGATTATGTTCGCGAACATTAATTTAATAAAGCTTTATTTTATTTTATGTATTTACATAATATTTTTAATAAAAATACTAAAATTTAATATAGTTTTATTTATTCTTTTTATGTATTTACATAATATTTTTAATAAAAAATCTAAAATATAAAAATATTTTTGTTTTATTTTTTTATTTTCGAGTTCGAACGAGTTCGAACGAACAAATTTCGAGTTAATCAAACATATTTAAAAAGTTATAAATTATACGAACAC